GTTGACTTTTGCCCACGAGGGGATGGGTAACTTCAGGGGTTTGATTTAGAAGTTATATTCTTTGTGTTCCATATTGTATATTTACTGTATTAAAGTCCCTTTTCATTAAAGTTTTATATGTTTTGTCTTGTTGCGGCGGATGGCAGAACCCACTTAGAGCAGGCAGGTTTTTTGGGCTTCAGGGGTTTCCCTCTCCCCCTGTCCTCTAACAGATTTGGGGAGCCCTGTAACAAACTGACGCCTAGAGTCTGAGAGATATGCCCACGGGGAATATAGCTAGTAAGTGGCAAGGCCCGGCTGACTCCTGACCCAGGCAGCCTATTTCCCACTGTGATCTCCTAGAACATGCAGTTTTTAAATTTGCTTATAAAGTGTCCAGATCCTAACAGGCACTGGAGTCTGGTCCATCTGCACACTTTGGGCCTCATCTTCCCGGTATACAGCAGGTCTGACGCACTCACCCAGCCGCACGTATTCCGGGAAAGGCTCCTTGAAACGCAGCTCGTAGGGCAGGACTGCTAGCCGTCTGCGCGTGGCCTTGTCCCGAATCTCGCTGACCACCTCCCGAATAGTGTAGATGTTCTTCCCGATGTCCTGCGTAAAGAGTGTCTCAGCGCATACCCGACTGGTTCACCGCGCTCCTTAAGGAGCCATCAGCCCAGACCCAGATCCTCTCTGCCTGAGTTCCCTGTACCTGCAGAGCCGCATCCCGTAGGAATGCTCCCGAATCAGCCACAACGTGCTCCACTGGCGCCATGTTGGCTGGACACGCCGGGCGTGCGCAAGCGCAGGGAGTTTGCGCTCAGCTCGTTGGCTCCAATCCCGGCCTCTGGGAACTGGAATGAGTAGCTGAGATTTAGCGCCACCTACCGGCGGCTCCGCCTGCCGGCGGCTCCACCTGCCACCCTTGGTTGAGGCCTATTCGTGCGCATGCGCCATGCCGCCGCCGCCGCCGCCGCCGCCAGCCGGGACCAGGGGTGTGGGCGGGGTTAAACTCTGAGGGACGCCTGAGGAGATGCTTCAGCGTCCACCCTCAGCCTTTCTTCGCTTTTAAATGTAAGACCTCTGTGTGTGTGTGTATGTGTGTCTCTATATATGTAAATATAATATCTCATTGCTAAAAGCCAAGCAAAACAAGCCACCTAATTTAGTGATTATAAACAACCCTATGAAAAAGGATAGTTTTACAGACAAGGGGCAGGCAACAGGACAGCTAAAGTCCGCTAACACGGCTAGTGAGTGATTTACAAGACTAACCGCAGACAACGGAATCGGGACCACCTTTCCATCCATTATACATACCGCTGCTGACGTAACTCCACTTCATTTTGAGTAACTTGCCGTGTTCACGTTACTATCCTCACTTCACCACCCGAAGCAAGACACATCCCTTGATAATAGGTAATTCCCGGAGAAATGGAACTGATGGGATGACTTAAATTCCCTTTCAAATCCGAGATTCTATAACTGAGCTCTGGTCTATTAAACATTCATACTGGCAAAATTTCCCTGAATCTTCACCTGAGTTTTCACCCATTATTCTTCATTAGTCGATATTAAATTATTTTTAACCTTTTGTCATTTTCCCTCCTAATTTTCCTTCCATTATAATTTATCCAGTCTACACCCCCAATGCTTTCAATGCCCTGGTGGTTCCTTCAGTAGTTGCCCAATTCCTTTTTCCTTCCCCAACGTGTCTCAACTTTTTTTTACCTTTCAGTCTCCTATCTTCAGAGCCTGTGAAATAGCACATTTAAAGGCTCTTCTCAATTTCTAGTTTCTTCATATCAATGTCTTGGATTTTTGAGTTCTTGGCCTCAGTGTGTCTGCAGAATTTCACATTACTGACCACTTTCTCTTTCCTGACTGTCTCTCCTTGTCACTTGGCCTTGGCCCCTGCCTCTTGATGGCTTCATTCCCATTGTCTGCATGTTCTCCTGTCTTGGAAAAGTGGTACCCCACCCCCCACAGAATTTTCTCAGTTGCCACTCAACTTTGCTGCTTCTTTCTTTGAGTGATCAAATTGTAGGAACAGCTCCCAAATCTCTGTTCTTTTTTACTCCTCAAGCTAGCCTCTGGGCATATCCATCTGAACTTTCAGTGTCTTCACTCAAGAGGAAAGTTAAAAGTGTGGGATGATTATCTCTTCCACCCCCACTTAAAATTTCTTCACTTGTTAGAGTTCCAGTTTTTACTGAATGCATCACCGATGAAGGCATTCAAGGTAAGAGTCTGAGTCATCTTCATTTTCAACCCCATACTTCAGAGGGGTGCTCTCACTAAATTATTGATGTAATTTCTAAAATGTTGGAGTGACTGGTACCCCTCTACATTCATTCTCCTTATCTAATCAAATTTTTATTTCATGCCTAAAAAATAATGATCCATTTAACACTAGTATTCCTAGGTGTGGCTTCTCCTCCTTCAATTGATTGCTCCTGTTCATGAAAAAGGAAAAGCGTATTTAGAAACTGAATTCCCCATCGTCAAAGAGGTTTAATGATATTCGCTGGTAGTGACAATTTTATAAACTCTAGGATGAAAGAGAAAGATGTAGTTCTTTGGTTCTCAAACTGCAATATGCATCAGTATCCCCTAGAAAGCTTGCAAATAAGGATTGCTGGGCTTCCTCCTCAGTTTCTGACTCAGTGGATCTGGGCAGGACCTGACAATTTGCATTTGCAGTAAGTTTCATGTGTTGCTACTGCTGCTGACTTGAGGACCACACTTTAAGAACTGCTCATTTACAGGCATAGTCAGGAAAAGAAAATTTAGGCTATGAGCCATTTATTTTGAAGTGATCACCAAGAAAACATATTAATATTAAAGTTTTCTTGATACTGTTGCTTTT